TTTTTTTTTTTTTGGAACAATAAAAAATACTCATAACAAACCGAAGATTACAATGTTCGAATACAAGCAGGTCATAGACCGAATAGCCGAGAAAGAGAGAACCACACACATGTGGCCTAGAGCGACAATGAACGAGCCTAGAGCGACAATGAACGAAACAATAACCCAACGAGATAGTCTAAAGCAGTTATTTGCTAAAGACCCTCTAGAAACAATCACATAGAAAACTACAACTAGACAAAGATGAAGACTTCCACTGAACTAAGATCCTAGACCATCTTCAACCTTGCCATCCTCAAACCACAGCAGCATGCCGGTTAGCATCCTCGAAATCCATCCATTCTTTAAGGGCAATAACAACAATAAGAAGAGTCGGCCTTGAAATCCCATAAAAAATCCACAGATTCCAGGATTTTCAAAGCCACCACAAAATGTTAGTGGAGTGTTGGATCCGAGTCTAAAAAATATCCCTTTTATCCATGATAGAGATATGCCACCACCAATCCTTAACAGACTCCTGGAATTTTGGACCCTCCCAGGACACATGAGCTCATTTCCAAACAAGAGAGGCTTTGGAGCAAAAGAATAGTCCATGTTCTACAGTTTCTTCATCAAGGCCACATACTTTACAGATTGAATCAATGCTTAAACCTTTCTCTCTCAAGTTAACTCCAACAGGAAGGATTCCAGAAATGTATTTCTATAAAAAGTGTTTAAGCTTACGTTTGATATGTAGTTTCCACAATCTGTTTTTGGCTTTTTGATCCCTGAGAGAGGCATCGTTGCTTTGGGCCGTGTCCAGTTTTAGGAGCTTTTGGTGTGTAAGAGAAGAATAAGCATTAGCAACTGAGAATTGGCCCTTTTTGTCAAACCTCCAAATCCATATGTCCTCTGCCTGAAGGTTCAGAGTAGAGATTTTCAGAATTTCAGCACAATTATGATCAGAAAACAATTGCTTGAGAAGTGCAAATTTCAGGATTTCCATCTGGAGATAGCAGCTCATGCACCCACGTTAAGTTAGACTAAGAGTCATAAATGGGCTTGAGTCTGCATTCTTTCAAACCAGGCATCCAAAAATCATCAAAAATCGTTGTAGCCTTACCACTTCTTACCTCAGAGAGCCTCCACTTTCCACACTTCTCTAAAACCTTTAACCAACTGAGCTAAAGCCAAGATGCACTGTTTTTTCTTTTGGCCGCAAACAAAGAGGAATTTAGAAAATATCTTGTCTTAAGAACTTTACTTACCAGCAAAGTGGGCTGCGTTAAGATTCTCCAAAGCTGCTTGGCAATTAGAGCTTCATTGAAAAGATGGACATCCTGAATGCGAAGGCCACCCTGAGATTTTGGAAGTGAAAGCTTGGCCCATGACTTCCAGTGAATCCCCTTATGAAAATCCTCCCCTTTGCTTTACCAGAAACCTGCACAAATACTGGAAATTTCCTTGCAAAGACTCAAAGGCAATAGGAAACAAGACATAGCAGAGATCGGGAGGGCATTCACCACAACTTTTATCAAAACCTCTCTTCCAACTGGAGTTAGCCACTTGTTCTTCCAGCTATAGATTTTTCTTTTCACAACAAATATAATATAGTTAAAGGATTCTAGCTTAGATCTTTTATGCCCAATGGTAGACCCAAGTATCCGGTGGAGGAATGCAGATTTATACCATTGAGAATTTGACAGCAGCTATGTTGAAAATCAGGTACTGTGTTTTTGCTAAAAAAAATGGATGGCTTCAGGAGATTTACCTTTTGGCCAGTGAAAAGATAGTAATCATTTAAGATACTTGTTGTAGGAAATTATTTTTTTATTATTGAGTACTGAATCGAAGGATTCGTTCTCCGAGTTATCTCTCGAGGAAGGTTAGCCGGATCAAATTGTACGATTATTCTATCACAAAAAAGAACAAATAAATCCTAAGCATTCTAATTTACAAGATTGGGTTTGATTATCAACTACGATGAACTCAAACAAAGCAAATTGAAACTTCAAAACAAAGACCATTAACAAGCAATGATAAGAAGCTAAGGAGACGGGGAATATTTGTTTTGGTTCGAATTGCAGTTAACGGTCAAGTGATTGTTCGGTTAAATGATTCGAAAAACCTACTCGTTCGCAGATTCATTCTCAATAACTTTTCGTAACAAGAGAACAATCATGAACGGTAAATTAATGATTCGTTTAACACATAGGCAATAAAGTTTCAAACAAGCCTAGTTTATATGAGCCTAGATTGATCGGCTCCTCCTCTTTCGGTTCTAAGAGCTGATTAAATTATCCTAGAAGATGGTTAATCAACTAGTCCATTTAGAATTAATAACATCACGCGAGAACGAATCAAATTCAATTGAAAATCAATTGGAGATTGAAGTATCACCCTTCAATAATTCATAACATTCAAGCATAATCATCGAAACCCTATTTAAGAATAACTCGTATAAATTGAACAACCAACGAACACAATAATCGCAAATGAAACCAACATCATCCCCTCTCCCTAGCAATTAGGTTTACCATTCATATTCAATCCAACACAAACAATCTCAACAATCGAATAAGTCATATCCATGGATTAAATGAAAAAGGAAACTTACGATTGATAAAGAATTAAATCAAATGTTGAATATGAGATACAAGATTAATCTGAAAGCAATGAAGAAATCAAGGTAAAACAAAGATCAATGTTTGTGTTCTGAGGTGAAATTATGAAGAAAAACGAGTCTGGAGTTTTATTTTAGGTTCTGGGTACAAGTCCAAATGCAAAGTACTTGAAAAATCGAGCAAATAGAGATTTATAAAAATTTGGTCGCGCAGGGGTTAGCGCGCTAAGGTCGCCTGGGCAGTGGCCTCTGGGATTGTCAAGGGGTCGTTAGGACAGCCTTAGCGCCGCTAAGGACTGGGCTGCGCGGCTTTTCATTTTGGCTTCGTTTGAACTCGTCTGAACTCAGAATTGAGTGTCGTTTTTCTCTACGTGTCGCCAACAAAAACCCTTCTAGTCAATTATGATTTCCCATCAAATATTTTCTTGAAATCCTATTCTCCCAAAGCTTGTGGCCTGCACACCAAAAACGTGCTTCACGCGACTTCGCGTTTTGGGCTCGTTTGAGCTCGTCCGAACTCGGAATTGAGTTCTGCTTTTCCTACTTGTCGCCAACGAGCCCTTCTAGCTAATTATGCTTTCACGGAAACTTATTCTTGAAATATCCGCCCAAAACTTCAGACTTGCACACCAGAAACGAAAACAAAAACGGAGAAAACCAGAAAACGAAAGAAAAACACAGAAAAACTCAAAATGAAGGAAAACACAAAATAAACTAAAAAACAACTAAACACTAAAGAACGACCTAAAACAGGGGAAAAATAAAGTCAAAAAAAACAATGAAGAATGCAACAAAAATAGGATAAACAACTCCTCACACTTAAACCTTTGTTCGTCCCAAATAAAAAGAAAAGAAAAGAAACGAGCAAACGAGCATGGACAACAGTTTCAAATAAGAAAGTTTTCAAATTAATCAACTTAGCTGAGGAGACTTCTAATGACCAATATAGCATACCTCAATTAACTCGAATGCTACGCTTTGTAAAGACAAACTCTAAAGCACAATAATATAATATATATGCCTCACTCAGTTTCTTACATGAATATGAAATTGGGACGCTCAAAATGGTCGATGATTATGTTTCAACATAAGCATGCTTTAATTAATTGATTTACCAACAAATTAGAAATGAAGGCCTTAGGAATTTTGAAATTAACTATAGTTTTAAAATCCTTTCTCAAGCTTAGTATTATTTTTAATAGAGGATTTGTAACTTTTATGCAATTCTAAATTCATCTCATGCAAAAGCAATAATTAATTCCCATGCATAAATATTCATGCAAATAAATTAATTCCATTTATAAAGTAACAATTAATTTCTCATGCATAAATAAATAATAAGCATAGTATAATTTATATAAATAAATCCATTATTATGGTCATTAATCAATAAGTCTTCTTGAACAAGGAAATTATCAGATAGGATCTTCTGAATTTCCTAATTCACTTGGAACTCCCACTACAGCAGAATCCTATAAGATATCCAACTACTTGTCCAGCAAGTCTTCCCATGGAACTCCCGCTACCCGCCACGCCTCATCGTCTCCAGAGGATCTCGCATCCCCGACGTCGAGCTGCGTTCAGGCCGCCGCCGCCGCAACGTCTCGCCTCCGCCATGCATGAGGGCCTTCTGCCCAGCCCTTCGGTCACCGCGATGCCACGCAATCGCCACCCTCCATCGCCTACTCGCCTGCGGCTTCCGACAGTGGGCTTCCAAGCCGCGCGAGGCACGTTGTGGTTCTCCGTCGGTCACCTTGGCCCGTGGCCAGGATCACAACACGAAAAATATAATTTACATAATTACATGATTGAATCCTAGACCCAACGAATGGGTTTACATGTTCTTCTAAACAAATAATTAAATCTATCTGGTGTCCCACCGGACGAATAATTATTACAAACATTCAACCATCAAAACACCTCGACATGTCCGAGGTTTTAAAAACCACTCATCAACATTCAACG